GCATGGTATTCTGTCAAAGAAAAAATGCATGTTTATCCACTTCAATGATAGTGCTGGTTGATGATTATTATTTAACTGCTTAATATCCATTACATAATGGTGTTTTTGAGATCTATTTATCCTTCTGTAGTGAGAAAGTATGTGGACAGAAGGTTTATGAATTCGGACTGATATTTTTCTCGGGGAAATTGACAATATAAATTTGGAGCAATAGTATTCTTGGTTAGTGGGAATGCTAATTTTATTAGCTCTAATGCATCTTGCAGAATTAGGCAAGAATCTTTAGACATATGAACTAATAATTGTGCTTTAATTCTTGAACTGAGAGCAAGGATCATTTTTATAATTTACCATCTTACCATGAATTGATCGAAATGTCAATGATTCTGGAGCTAATACATGTCGTATTGTAATTTCATTCGAATTATAATGGGATTGAACTGATTAACAAAATTACTAGTTAGTAATATCTATGTCTCCATGTAAGAAATAATGGACTAGACTGATTAAAATAGAACATTAAGTATGCATAAATGGAAGGAAGCAAGGAATTGTTTGACATATTATAGCCATTTTAAGATATTTTCCCCTGTGAAAAGGTGAGCATAAAAAAGATTTAGTACACTCCAGCTAAGCAGATTCTTTAACTAGTCCAACACATATAATCAGTCTGTAGTAGATAAGATTGTTTAACTTAAGCTATTCTGCTGAAGCTATGGCTTTCAAACCATCATCTGCCACAGCTGCCCTGATGCCATTTTGCTGTATAAATAGTGAGGATATAGGTTTTAAACCAATGAATACATCATGCATCACTTCTTATTTGCCTTTTCTGTTATAGATATATTTTTTAAGAACCTGGCTTATTTATTATGCAATCCTAATTTTACTTATATAGGTCATGAAGAATAATATCCTTAAATGCCTAATGATAGATTTCATAAATGTAAGATTATTGACTTTAAAGATCTAACCGAGGAATCATTAAAGTCAATAAACCATGTCTTTTTAGTACACAGGAAACTGCATAGAATTCATTCAGGGAAAATTTCAAAACTAGTCTCACAGGAATAGGGGGGTGACAATTTTGGTCCGGAATGCAGAAAATATGAATAGTCCCACAACTTTTAAAAAATGATCAAAAGTAGGACTTTTTCGCCGGATTTACTATTTCCGGCCCGGAATGCCACGTGGCATCCGACGTGTTCATATTTTTTTACAAGTTGTGGGACTAGTTTTGAATTTTCTGCATTCCATCGGGACAAAAAATGTCACTCCTCTATACTTGTTGGACTAGCTTTGAATTTTTTCCTATCTAGGAAAAAATTCAAAACTAAGCCACGTGTGCGCCAGCGTGTAAAAAATAAGCCACGTGTGCGCCACGTGGTGTTCCGGGCCGAAAATAATAAATCCGGCGAAAAAGTCCTACTTTTGATCATTTTTTAAAAACTGTGGGACTATTCATATTTTGTGCATTCCGTCGGGACCAAAATTGTCACCCCCCTATATCTGTGGGACTAATTTTGAATTTTTCCCAATTCATTCAAGTGCATTGGTTCCAAATTATCAACCACAGAAGTTATTTCCTGAGAGAGCAGAAAAAGAACCAAGAAGTTCTAAATACATAAGATGAAGAAGAGGGTATGGCATTGGCTCAAATATATAGCAATGCTGCAAGTAAGCTATGGGTTTCTTTCTGTATGTTCAGATCACAAATGCAAACATACATGAGTAGCCCTTGGGGAAAGGTAAATAATATGAATAAAATGGCCTATGTGAGAACTCTTTTAACGGTTAACTTGTTCTTTGAGTGAAACTGGTGTTGGCTTGTTCGATAAAAACTGTTTAAGCTTCTATTCATACTAGTTGGCTTCCACAACCGGCTCAGATTTAATCGATGAAAAACAAAATCAATATTTTTAAAATAAGTGCATTATAAAGTGAAAAAAAAAAAAAGATAGAGAGTGAACAAAAACCTAGTTTTTGTAATCAATAACCGGACACAATCTCGACTCATCTCCAACCATAATCCAACGGCCAGCAGTCTCCGCCTCGACGTTCACGTTCTTGCACAAGGCCGTAAAAAATGTGTAATCCCAACCCATGAACATGACCCCACAATCGAGCACCTTCGACTCGACTTGTTCAGGCGTCAAAACCGTGGCCAAGGTCACATTTCCGAGGCCCGAGTCTTTGTCTTCCATGTAAAAGGGCCCTATGAATTTCCCCGACCACTCCAGCGAAGGCTTGCATCGGGCCCACACGGTGAGATCCTCGATTTTCCAGCCGTGGAGCTTCTCGACCAATAACCCGAGGTCCCACACCGCCGTATTGTTGTTGTTGGGGGTTGTCGATAGGGAGACCGACTCGATTTTGAAAGTAGGGAAGTCTGGCGGCTGTTCAATGAGTACGATTAAGAATACGACTGTGCCTATGGTTACACCAACTAACACAAGGAAGATGGCGCAGAAGACGGTGTCGGATATTGATTTTTTTTGATTAGGTGGTGGTGGTGGTGGTGGTGGTGTTGCCATTGGGGAATGCAAATATTATTTATGAGTTTGGTGCATATATATATTATATATATAAATATGTTAAATGGGTTAACCCTAGCGGGCTTTGGGTCAAACGGTTTGGGCCTAAAAAGTCCAGATTTAAATGAACTACCAATAAAATGACCTAATCCTAAACCTAGCAGGCATCGGGCTAAACGGCCTATAATAATAATAATAATAATAATAAATTACAACACTTAGTTAACGGTTTTTTTCAACGGCTATTCAGTATTTACTATTATACATATACAACTACACTTCATAAATGATCACACATTACAAACTCTTAAATAACATATTGTTTTTCAATAGAAATTTTTTTTTTCGAACTATTACTTATAACTACCATTTGACTAGTTATTTGGCACTCTTCGGGAATTCTATCATTATATTTTATGTGTTAAGTCTTTGTCTCATCTATACTTATATTAAAAGATATACCATTTACTAGATTTAGTATAAAGAAAAGTCAACAACATCTATTGCATTACTATTTCCGTATTACACAATCTATACTTATATAAAAAGAGATTCTATTTACTATATTTATTATCCAGAAAAGTCAACTGCATTAAATGCCATTACTATTTTGGTATTATAATATTTTATTTATTTAATTGATTTATTTATTTGTTTTATTTTAAAAAGGTAAGTATAATGAAAAGATTTTGATAATAAAAAAATCAAATACCAAATAAAAATGTACACTTTGACTTATTTGATTATATTTGGTATTTGATTATACCAAATATATTCCTATTTAGTATATACATTAAATACTTACTAAAGTATTTATTTGTTTTATTTGTCAAAGTTAAATATAGATTTGTTAATATTATCAAATCATAAAAAAAATATTAAATCCATATTGTAAAAAAAAAATCATATAATTTTATAACAATTCTACTACACTATTTAACAATATTTCTTTTTTATTATATAATAAAATATTAATTAAATATTACATGGTGAACAACAATAAGTAAAACTGTTACTTTCTCTTATATCAAGGGATAAATTTATATGCTAAAATTAAATTTTTATTAGTATAAATGTTTTAGTGAGATAATATATTAATTATTTTACAAGCTAGCCCTAACATGCTCATATTTAATGTTTTAAAAGATGTAGAAAAAAAAACTTATAATAACTCTATTGTTTTTTAGACTTAAACGTTGATTAAAAGAGGTAAAAATTCCTAAGTTTTTAGACTTAAACGTTGATTAACACCATAGATTGAGAGTTTATATTTAGTAAAATTCCTAATTGTAATAAGAAAATTAATTTTTGCTATCTTTTAGAATATCTTTAAATTTATTATAAAAAAAAAAAGAAAAAAAACTTCAATGAAAAAAGTAAGTCAGCTATATATCGATTTGTTGTACTCCTCAAATCACATCTGGTATTAAAATATTATTTTGTAAGTAGTCTTAATGTACAAGAGACTTTAAGACTCCACTTGAATATTATAAAACTTTTATTGAACATTGCACAATTTTCTTGCGTATTATAAACTTTTATTGAATATTGCATCTTATAATATAATATTCTCCAAATAAATATATCTCGTGCTTTGCACGGGTCACGTACTATATATATCCCGTACATTTTTCTTTATTCATGTATATAATTATAAGCCTAGATAAATATCCTTAAAATTGTGCACCCCGTGCATCGCACTGACTCTGTACTAGTTTGTTTTTTATTAGTCGTTCTGATTGACTTAAATATTTTGCTGTTAAATAAAATAAAATTTGTTAATAATTATCTATCAAAATAATAATAATACATTATAACTCATAATTACATGTTAAGTAGAATAACGAAATTGTAATACAAGGAATCATGAGACATATTCTTTACATTTCTAAAAACATATACACCACCCAATCCAAGTTAAACGGGATAGCCCTAGCGGTTTTCGGGCTAGCCCTAGCGAGCTTCGAGCTAAACGGTCCGGGCCTAAAAAAGCCCGGATTTAAACGGGTTGTCAATAAAAAACAGGGTTAACTTTATTTTTTTCTGGGCTAAACGGGCCAACTCGTCGGGCCAAGAACCATTTAACATCTCTGTATATAACGGATATTAATTTTGGCTTAGGAATATTTTAAGATGATTTGTTCGTATAATTTGTGTTTATGATTTGATATAACTCTAATTCTCCTACCATTCTCATATAGTGTACTTTAGAATCCTACCGCCAGCAGACCTCATTCTGGTCATTCATTTTAGAACCGTGTTAGCATGCATTTTGTACAGATGCACAAGTTTGTGTTTTGTGGGAATACATGCATGGATTAACATTGATCAAATAATATATGATGAATTGAATTAAAAGTTCTATATCTATCTATTTATTTTTTTTGTATTATTTCTAGTAATATAAAAAGATGAATGATTTTGTAAAAACATAAACTGCCTAATTAAAAGCTCGTACTTTGACATCTCCTCTATATATAATAACCGAATGAGCTGAGCCAAGTGGCAACCTCGAGTGCTTCGGAAGCTTATTTGTTATAAATATGTGCTTCGTATTGACAAATGTACATGTTTAGTTTTGACTATTAGGCTTGAGAATTACCATAAACTATATTAGATTTTTTTTATTGAGTTATCATATATCATTCTTATCTTTTTTCTTATTTAATTCATATAATAATTATCATGAATTAGTATTCCTTTTTATATATAAAACTTTACAACTTTTTTATTTATATTTATTTTTTATTTATAATATATCAAAATAAGCATATTTTAGCGATCTTCGATTTGTCATCCATATTGCATATATAAAATATAAATAATTTCATCTATCTTTATAAAAACAATTAGTTTTAATATCAAATAAATAATATACAATATACACTAACTCATATATAGCAATGCTACAAGTAAGCTCTGTGTTTCTTTCTGTATGTCTAGAACACGAATGCAAACAGACATGTGTAACCCATGGGGAAATATAAATAATATGAGCAAATGGTGTGAGAACTGTTTAACTTGTTTTTAAGTGAAACTGTTGTTGGCTTCTTCGATAAAAAAAACTGTTTAAGCTTCTATTCATACTAGAACGACTCAGATCTAACCGATAATCAAGTTAAAATTTGTCTGAATTATTCTTTACCTAGTGAGGGTAACAAGAATTCTTCCTTTGAAAATACTCCTTTTTCATTATCCATAATAAGTCAAATAAATCGCTTTTTTTTTTTTAATAATATTAGTGCGTGATCCGTGTGATGCATGAGAAAACAATATTACGATTGTACTATAAATTAAATATATAAATAACATTAATCATGATTTATCTATTGTTTTTAAATTAAATCGGCTTGGACACAGTCTGACCGGATGGACCGAGAACCGGTTTATAACCAGTCTAGTTCGCTCGAATAAAATATTTGCTCTCGAATCTGTCAATACCAGTCAGTTGGACTGGTAGGATCGATACGATTTTCTAAATAAATTTTGTTATATTTAAAATTATTTTAAATAAAATTAAATATTTAAATAAAATAGAGATTTATAAATTATTTATCAATTAGTTCAAATATTTTAATTTATAAATTGTTTAGATATCTAAATAACACATTTTATTTAAATTTGTTACAAAAAGTATTATATATATATATATATATATCTATTAAAATGTTTATAAATTAAAATCTGAACAAACCACACATGATTTAATAAAATAGCTTGATCGTTTCGATGATGGTCCAGTTCTAAAAACCTTATATTTACTGTACATTAATAAATATTATAGTAAAATATTATTTAATTCACATAAATAATAATAAAATGATATTGTTTAGTAGAGAATTGGGGGTATGTGGTAACCGAGTTACCCGACTCGGGTCGTTCTCTAAGAAAGGCTATTCGGAGCTTTGGTTGCTATTCAATTGTCCATAAACACACAACGAGAAAAATAAATCCTAAACATTCTATTCATTGGTTGGAGATTGATTAAGAACTAGATTAACTAAGAAAGTAAGCAACTAGCAATTAAACGAACAATTATACTAGAAACCCTAGACTGGAGAACCAAAAATCAAGAAAAACGAACGAAAACAAGAGGAACGAGCTCCATCTATCACACTTAATAGTTAAAGCCGAAAATTCTACGATGAAATAACCGAGCTCAATATCAAAGTCACGATGTTTCAAGTAGAAATTCACACTTCAACCAACTCAAACACAATAGACGAGTTCAAAAACCATGAAAACACGGAAAATAACTAAACGAGCAAACATATCCAACAAACGAGCAAGCCCTAATCACTTCTACTCACTAGATAGCAAATTAGGTGCACAATACGAAAGTATAAGTCTTAAAAGTAAGTACTCACATTCCTAGTGCATGCTTGGTCGAAATCGGAGTAAAAAGATATAAACTTGCATAAAAACGAGATTCGCCGGAAAAAGTTGCCGGAAATAGTTCGCCGGAAAATACTAAGCTAGAGAGAATCTAAAGGAAAATCTAAAAAACCAAAAACATTACCAAAAAGAGTAAAGTAGCAAATGAAATCTACATTGTTCAATTACAAAGGGCCAAAACATATATATAGTCCAGCTCCAAAAACACACAGTAGAAACACGCAGATTAAATGACACACTCTCGAGTTCGCCGGTACTTCCGCGGGTCGCGGGCGCGAGATGGCGCTGTCTGTCTCGAGGAATGCACGGGACCGGCGCGAGGGAAGACACTACTCTCGATATCGCAAGAGGATTCGTGGGGCGCGGCGCTGGGAAGGCACGGAAGTGCACGAGGTCGGCGCGAGGGGAATGCAATACTCTCGATATCACGGGTGAATTCGCGGGCACGGGCATCCATGGGGTACTACTCTCGAGCTCGCGGGAGAATTCGCGCGGCGCGGACTGGGAAGGCACGGGCCGGGCACGGGATGGCGCGGGGAAAGGGCAATACTCTCGAGCTCGCGGTGAAGTTCGCAGGGCGCGGGGTGCGGGGCTCGGGGCACGACCAATACTCTCGATGTCGCGGCATAATTCGCGGGGCACGGGGCGCGGCTCGAGGGCGCGAGTGGGGCCATCTTTTGGAACTTTTGATCGAATGGACTAGCTAAATGATTCGGAAATTCTCGAAATTGACTCGGAATACTTGGAAATCTCGTCTCTCGGGACTCGGTGTGACTCTTCTCGTCATCCTCGGGAATAAACCTGAAAATACACCACAAAATACGGAAAAGTACGCCAAAGACACAAAATAAAAGGAAAACACAAAAAATACACGGAAAACAATAAAATGGACCAGTCAACGCTAAAACAATCCTAAAACCGACCCAACTAAGCGCAAGAAACACATAAAAAGAAACACAAAAACACAATAAACAGATATATAAGTGTTCGTTTCACTTTCGTCATGTTTTTCTTGTTTATTTTATGCTTATTTTTCCCCTCCTTAGGTATTTTTCTTTGGTTTTTGGTCCATTTTGAGTCGTTTCGTGCATTTCCTTTGTTTTAGTCGTTTGTTGGTCTTTTTGTTCGTTTTTCCCGATTTTTCCGTATTTCTTGTCGGTGGTGATATGCAGGTTAGGTAGCTCGGTGCATGGCCATGCGAGAATTACCATCTAGATGGATGAGTTGGGGTCGTATTGGAGAAGACGGGATTAAATTCCGAATCCGGATGCGAGAACACGAACCCGAAAACATGCCGTGCAGAAAATCTTCACCGCGACCGCGGAAGAGAAGAAGTCGCGGTCGCGAGCTGCCCAAAAATTTGCTTTTCTGGCCCGTGGATGTCGCGGCCTCGAGTCGAGTCGCGGCCGTGAACTTTTCTTCGCCGCGGCCGCGGAGGTCGCGACAGCAGGATTTTTTTTTATTTCACGATTTTGATCAGTTTTTGGATTATCTTCTACCTAGGTTTTGAGTTTTCTTTGGTGCTTTTTCACTCCAGAACATATATTTCTCTTAGATTTGACTAGGATTTGATCTTGGATTGTGAAAATACCAAGATTAAGCTTTTAGATTTGAATTGCTCGTTGTTTCTTTCGACATTGGATTCGTATTTATCGTAAGCTTCTTTTTCGTTTCATTGATGAATGTTATGGCTTTGCTTCATATGAATGTTGATGTTGAATTTGTGATGAGTAGCTAAATTCGTTAACTAGGGCTAGGGGATAATTGTTCCGGTTCGATTTCGTTTGTATGAATGTTGATTACTCCATCTATTCGAGTCGTGCTAATCCTAGGGTTGAATGACTGATCACCATTTTAATCCATTTAATCAATTCTTAGAACCGAAATGGGAGGAATTGATTGATCTAGGCTCGTTTAGAATAGCCTTGTTCGGAGACGTATTGTCTACATGCTAATTGATTCGATTATTGTTCATTTATGTTTATTCTCTTGTTACGTGAGTTATTGAGAATAGATCTCTAGGTGAATTGTTTTTCGAACCCTTTAGCCGAGTAGTTGATTGCCCGGTAAATGTATTGAGAACCGGAAACGATTGTCCCCGACGCCCTAGTCCTTTTTACAACTATTTGAATCTTGTTTGAAGTTGAGTGATCGAAATTGTCTCGTTTGATAATCAGTAGTGGTTAATCTCGTAGCAGATAATCGAAACCTACCAATTGAATTAGAGTGTTTAAGATTTAATTTCTCTTTTTGTGATTGAATATTCGTACAAGATAATCCGGTTGACCTTCCTTGAGACACGACCCGGTGTTCGAATCTTTCGATTCTACTCCGGTAAAAATAAACTACAACAAAATGGCGCCGTTGTCGGGGAAGGTTTAGGACTTATTTTGTGCGCCTATTCATTTCGTTTTCAGTGTTTCTCTTATTTTTGTGATTTCTTGTTTTGCGTGTTTCTCTTTGTTTCGTTTTTCTTGACTAGTTCTAGTGTTTTTCTTGTTTTGTTTTTCTTTGTCTCTTTCCTATCTATCTGGTGCCCGTGACATTTTTGTTGTTTTTGTTTATGCGTAGCAGGAGTGGTCGTGTAATCATCCCGAACAACAAATCCATCCAGAGGGACCTTTAGGAATTGTTGGCTAACCTTGCCCCTGCATCTTCAGACTCAGCCAACCGAGACTCAGATAGCCAGGGAGACATGGCTGATGAGGAAGTGAATAACCCACCTCGTCACCTCCTTCGTGATTTGGCTCAACCAATAATTGGGCCAGTGACTTCATGCATCCGGCTGACCTTCCTTGAGACACGACCCGGTATTCGAATCTTTCGATTCTACTCCGGTAAAAATAAACTACAACAATAAGTATTCATAAATCATTAAACATGTTGTCGTAAAAGTATTGTTAATACGATTATTTGAAGTTTGGACTACATCACATTCACGTAATAAAATATTTTCAATATAAAATTTATATTTAGGTTTAACAATCGATTTGGTGTGGTCGAACTGATACATAACTTAGTCACCTGAGACCAACTATGTTGTGCCAAATTTTTTGACTATCTTAAATATCACCTTAAAGTAATTCATCAACCTTGGCAGTATCCTAATTCAATCACCCGATTGATCCGAAGAAATTTTCTTATTTTCTTTAACTATATTTAATTTTATGAAATAAAAATATTTTATGATTCATATAATAAATGTCTACATCAAATGATATTATATTAAGATTATAAATTATATATTTAAAGATGAATTAATTATTTTTACTTTATGCATATTAATAAAAAATAAACATAGTAACTTTCAAACAATTAAGATTAATTGATTGATTATGCAATTTAAGAATATTTTTAGCGTTCAAAATATTTTTTTAAAGGCACAAATATAAAGACCGAGATTCTAAAAGTTTTATTATATTTTGAATTGAGATTTTTTATAAATATAAAGACCGAGATTTTAATGTTGTTCGTTATTTATAAGAAAAAATAAAAGTAAAAATATACACACTTAATAGTAGTATTTTGTCAAAGTAGTTTTGTTCAAGTTTGTTGCCATTTTGTTGTCCACCCAAGTTTGTTCAGTTTGTTAGAGTTTGTTGGTTTTTGCTAGTTCAAATTTTGTTCAAGTTTGTTGCCATTTTATTGTCCAAGTTTGTTCAGTTTGTTGGTTTTTGCTAGTTCAAATTTTGTTCAAGTTTGTTGCCATTTTGTTAGAACAAAAAAAGCAAAAAAGCGTGTATAAAAATATTGTGATTTCTGGTTCAAAGTTTATTCAACAATTTCTCTACANAAAAAAAAAAAAAACTAACAAAAACAAAACACGTGTATAAATTTTTACCGTATACCGTCTATTCAAAGTCCCAACAAAAATTGCCGTCAACTCAAATATCTTTTTGACACATATGTAAAAGTGATGAAAAATAAAATTAATATTTTAAAAAATAAGTGCATTATAAAGTAAAAAAGAAAAGAAAAAAGAGAGTGATACATAAACCTAGTACGTTACTTTAACTGGGCTGGACACAATCTCGAGTCATCTCCAACCATAATCCAACGGCCAGCAGTCTCCGCCTGGATGTTGACGTTGTTGCACAAGGCCGTGAATAACAGGTAACCCAAATGGGTACCCATGAACATGACCCCACACTCGAGCACCCTCGACTCGGCTTGTTGAGGCGTTAAAACCGTTGCCAAGCTCACATTCCCGAGGCCTGAGTCTTTGTCTTCCATGTACAAGGGCCCTGTGAATCTCCCCGACCACTCGAGCCAAGGCTTGCATCGGGCCCACACGGTGAAATCCTCGATTTTCGCGCCGTGGAGCTTCTCGACCGAAAACCCGAGGTCCCACACGGCTGTATTAATATTATTCGTCTTGTTGTTGGTTGTCGATAGGGAGACCGACTCGATTTTGAAAGTCGGGAGGTCGTGCTTCTCTTTATTCTCTGCGATTAAACCTACGGTAAAGATTACAAAAAAAATTAAAACACCCGCGAGTATGATGACGCAGCACACGGCGTGGGATATTGTTTTATTTTCATTAGGTGCTGTTGGTGTTGGTGTTGCCAATGCCATTTGATTAGGTGGTGTTGGTGTTGCCATGCTTTTGTGTTTGGTCAGTGTGTATGTTTTATTATTTATTATTAACTTTGAATAAAAAACAATCTGTGGAAGAAGAAAGATGAACAGAAGAAAGAAAGGGAAAGCTGCGGAAAAAATGAAAGAGAAAAAAGTGTTTTTATACTAGGGTTTGCACAAGGACAAATAAGTAAATTATAAATGCCTAGTACAGAGTCCGTGCGATGCACGGGGGTGTACAATTTTAAAGCTATTTATCCAAGTTTATAATTATATACATGAATAAAGAAAAATGTACGTGACCCGTTTAAAGCACGGGATATATTTATTTGGAGAATATTATATTATAAGATGTAATATTCAATAAAAGTTTATAATACGCAAAAAAATTGTACAATGATCAATAAAAGTTTTATAATAAAGCACGAGATATATTTATTTGGAGAATATTATATTATAAGATGTAATATTCAATAAAAGTTTATAATACGCAAAAAAAATTGTACAATGATCAATAAAAGTTTTATAATATTCTAAAGTCTCTTATACATTAAGATTACTGACAAAATAATATTTTAATCAATGAGTTTCCTTTCCTTGTAGCTAAATTGTGAATGTGATTTGAGGAGTACAACAAATCGATATATAGCTGACTTGCTTTTTACATTGTAGTTTTTTTTTTTTTTTTTTTTTATAATGAATTTAAAGATATTCTAAAATATAGCAAAAATTAATTTTTTTATTACAATTAGGAATTTTACTAAATATAAACTCTCAATCTATGGTGTTAATCAACGTTTAAGTCTAAAAAATTAGGAATTTTTACCTCTTTTAATCAACGTTTAAGTCTAAAAAACAATAGAGTTATTATAAGTTTTTTTTTTACATCTTTTAAAACATTAAATATGAGCATGTTAGGGCTAGCTTGTAAAATAATTAATATATTATCTCACTAAAACATTTATACTAATAAAAATTTAATTTTAGCATATAAATTTATCCCTTGATATAAGAGAAAGTAACAGTTTTACTTATTGTTGTTCACCATATAATATTTAATTATTATTTTATTATATAATAAAAAAGAAATATTGTTAAATAGTGTAGTAGAATTGTTATAAAATTATATGATTTTTTTTTTTAAAATATGGATTTAATATTTTTTTATGATTTGATAATATAAACAAATCTATACTTAACTTTGACAAATAAAACAAATAAATACTTTAGTAAGTATTTAATGTATATACTAAATAGGAATATATTTGGTATAATCAAATACCAAATATAATCAAATAAGTCAAAGTGTACATTTTTATTTGGTATTTAATTTTTTTATTATTAAAATATTTTTATTATACTTACATTTTTAAAATAAAATAAATAAATAAATCAATTAAATAAATAAAATATTATAATACCAAAATAGTAATGACATTTAATGCAGTTGACTTTTCTGGAGAGTAAATGTAGTAAATAGAATTTACTTTTATATAAGTATGGATATGATATTATATTATATTGCTCAAAAAGTAATGCATTTATTGCATTGACTTTTCAACTTATTAAATTTCGTAAATGGTACCCCTTATTATATAAGTATAGATAACAACTCTACACAATATCTTATAAATACAAATGCCTATATATATATATATAAGATGATTTGTTCGTATAATTTGTGTTTATGATTTGATACAACTCTAATTCTGCTACCATTCTCATCATAGTGTACTTAAGAGTAATCCTACCACCAGCAGACCTCATTCTGGTCATTAATTTTAGAACCGTGTTCGCATGCATTTTGTACTGATTCACAAGTTTGTGTTTTGTGGGAATACAATTGATCAAATAATATATGATGAACTGAATTAAACATTCTTTATCTATCTATTTATTTTTTCTATACTTATTATAATAGCACGAATCGTTTTGCCAAAAAAAAAATAAAACTACATAAAAAAATTCTTACCTTGACATATTATATTAATATCCGTAATATCTTATATTTTTAATTAAAAAATGAATTATCTAAAAAATTTTACTTTGTAATGATAAATTAATTAAAAAATGAATTATCTAAAAAAATTTTACTTTGTAATGATAAATTAGTAATACAGTATCATACTCATCATATCTTATATCTTTAATTAATAATTAATATTCAATTATTTATANTGTATCACAAAAATCAATTCAATATCAACCCAAACAACAAAGCTTTAAATGATATATAATAGTTATTTGAAAAAAAATCCTTATTTTTAATATAATTTTAATAGTAAAATCATAATCACATTTCATAATTCTAATATAGAAAAGTTATTTAAAGAAAATTGATCTAACAAACACAACATAGAGTATAGAAAAGTGGGGACATGTGTTTATGACTTTATGTATAGAGTATAGAAAGATTATTATAACTTTAATTCTACTAGTGATTTTATACATCACACTGAAAAAGTGAAAATCAACAACTCAAAATACATGTAAATCATTCTGGCAATCCCTCTCTTAATATAATTCAAAACGTGCTGAGCCTAAATGGCTGGCTCGCACGCTTCAGAAGCTTACTTGGCAACAGTACATACTTCGGCTTTTGGTTCGGATAAAAATTAAAATTAATACAATTATTATATTATATTCTTTGTCGTGTATTCTTATATGAATATGATTGCTTTCTCAATATGAATAGAATTCCTTTTGCTTAATCTTTACCGTGTTTTCTTATTTAAATAGGATTCTTTTTTTTTTGTTTAATTTTTTTTTCTTTATGGGTTTTGTTATTCAAAATTAATAAAGCAAAACGATATTGGCGGTGATATGTTTTCCTATTCAATCTTGTGTTTGATTTTATATAATTTCTTGGGATCATCATTATAATTATTATACAAAAAAAGAAACTGAGATTAATAGATATGAATTATATTATATATTGTAATGTTATTGATTAGGTAAAGATATGCTTTGTTTGTATTGAGTTTAATTAGAAGAATGGTGGGATCAATTGATCCAATTTGTAATGAATTGGCTAAAAAAATTTAAATATTTTGTGTGTATTCGTAGCCGCCGTGTCATGGGGGGCCGGAAAGCCTCTGGTGATCGAAGAAGTTGACGTGGCACCACCTCAAAAAATGGAAAATGTTATATTTGTAACACCTCATTAGAAACATCTTTCTTTTTTTATTATTATTATTAATAAAGGGCTCGAGCTGTTATGTTAAATATGTATTGAAAAGAGTTGTTTCGGGAGTTAAATCGTACGACCTCTTTTTAAAAGTAGGATCATACACAATCTTGTCGATAAAGGCTGTTTAAATATTTATAATAAATTATTATATTTATTGACTTTAAATCCACCCTGTTCTTGCATCTTGTAAGTATTCAAATAATGGATAAAGAAAATGCAGAACTTATTAGACACATTAGAATGACGAAAATGAAAGAAAAGCGTGGACTATCTCCTGCAGGCATTGAAACTGTAGTTTCGGGTGAGTATATTTTATGGAACTTACTTTTAAGTTTTGTATAATATATAATGTATGCAACTTACATAATTATAAATTAATTATTAGATTAAAGAATTAATCCTGTATTCAGGCATGATCAACTTAATGTTGCATTATCTAGAATTAGAAGTAAGAGAGACTTGAAAATTCTGTGTTGCGATAATGATGGATAAATTGTAAATAAAACTATTAATGTAGTGTACAAATAAATTTTTTAAAATTTGAAATAATATCGACTTTGATATTTTCTATTTTTGCACTTTTATACGACAACATGTGTTTTTTTTATTATTTTATGTTTTATATTTTTTTTTCAAACAACCTGTGTAGTACACCGGTGTCGTACTAATAATTGTGTTAAAAGTTAAAACCATTATGTCAATGTATCATATCTTGAATTGATTCGGGTATTTTTCAATACTGTTTCACCAAAATACTATATCATGTCGGTTTCATATTGAAAATATCAATTAAAATCGAAAAGTAAAAGAATTTTTTATATTTTTTTAATTTTCATTTTTTTTTTCAAATTTTTGTTCATAACTTTAAAGTTCTAAACTTAATATTATTATGTTTATATTTTTATTTGATTTTTAATCAGTTCACTATTATTTTAAATTGGTTTTATATATTAAATTTAATATATACTTATTAAAACTAATGAATCTATTACTATATAATACGGAGAAGGAAAAATGTTTTGAATAATGTTTGAATAAATATTTCATTTCCCGCTTAAACATCATTTTTTCCCTCTCAAATTTTTCGAAAATTACCTGTTTTGGAAACTCTTTTTGAATTTTCTTCATTTATCCCGCCTAACTTAATTTGATTTTGGATGTGATTTATGGAAATCGGATTGTTTTATTTTAGGATAAGATTTGGTTGTTTTTTTGTTAAATTTGTTATAATTCCTTTTCTTTAGGATGAGATGAGATTTGTTACCATTTTTTTAAAATTCGATTTGGTACATTTTTAATTCACTCGCTTTTCCTTTTTTTTTCACGTTTTATTTCACTCGATTTTCCTTTTTTTTTGATGGGTTGAGATTTGGTAAATTTTGTATTTTTAATTTTTTTAATTTTAATTCACGTTTTTAATTTTAATTTCACGTTTTGAATTTTTTCCTTTTAATTTTTTTTAATCCGATTTTTTTTTTCAAACATTCGGTAAAGTTTTTTTTATTTTTTTTTCATAATCCCGCCTACATTTCAATTGTAATTTATTTGGACGTATATCATAATCCTTTTTTTTTAATCGATTTGGTAGGAATCGGATATTTCCTTTTTTTTTGGAAGGGAGTTGATATAAATCGGATAACATCAATTTAAATTAATTAATTATGAAATTTCATTTCCTTTTTTTTTTCAAATCCGATTTATATTATATAGATAGATTTCACTTCCTTTTTTTGTAAGCGATTACCTTTTTTTTGTGTAAGCGATTGTTTCAATTAAACGTGCACTAAGATCGGGTTGACCGAATTAAACAATTTTGAATAATATTAAATTAATCGATTACTATTAAATTAATTTTATTTGATTTTCACGTCTAAAATTTTCCAAAATACTATTTTTATTCTTGTGGAAAATGGCGGTTGGATGAAAAAGTCAAATTCAAATTAAAAAAAAATTGTTATTTTGAAAAAGATATTTTGTAAACCCTAATTCATAAAAATATGGTCAATGATAACTTTAAATACAACGGGTAAATATGGTCAATGATATCATAAATTATATTTTATATTCGATAAGTTCAACTTAACTGATGATTTTCTTTGTTAATATTTGCTTAACTACAAAATATTTTAAAGTTTATAAAGAATCTCATTTTATGTAGGTTCTTGGTACTTTTTTATTTGTACATATTCATTTTTCATCTCATATCCAAATACAAATTTAAATGCGGATCTTACTGTTTATTAGAAATATATGTATATTTTTTCAAAAAGTATGACGATCATATAATTAATTTTATCATATATCATATGTTGGATGTATTAGTTTGGTTGGGACACTCATTATATTCAAATAAATAATATATAATTTTTCATATTTAGTATTTCTTTTTTTATAATAATAAGATGTTAAACATAAATAACTATGTATAATATAAAGTTTTAGAAAAGGTTTTAAGTAAAAACCCCTCCGTGCAGCGCACGAGATACACACTAGTTAGAAAGTAATATCGGCTGAATCGACTGAACGCTATTTCAAATATTGATAAAAGAAGTTGCACGGGTAACTTTTAATCACGACTCTATGGATAAAAAGGAAAATCTTTAACCAACCAATGGATGAGAGAACTATAAGTCAGGTAATAGCGAGTGCCCGATCATGGCGGCGATACTGAGGGTGACGAATTCATTACCATGGGTCAGATCTGAAGCCACGTATACGGGAAACGGTTCACCAGCTCCGCCGGATCGGGACCCTCCGGCGGCCGGGTGGCTAGCGCCCTCACTCCCAAAGCGCTCTTGGGTCGTTCGAACTGAGGCACGAGTTTCTTCCAATTTGTAAATAATTATCTTCGTTTTCACTTTCTCCTTCTTTTCTTCCCGTGATACATATAAAAGGCAATACCCAATTCCGAGGTGAGCTTGGAATGAATTTGAGGTAGAATTCTCTGGCAGATTGTAGAGTCTGTTGGGTTTATTTGAATTCCTTTGAGTTTAATGGCAAATTGTGAAATAGTTTCTTTTAATTTATGAAATTGGAATTATTTCAAGCTCGATTCTTGGTGGGTTCATTTCGAGTCGGAGTAAATTTTTTTTTTTTAAAAAATGAAATTAGTTTTGACCCGACTATAGAAATGTTGTCAGTTTCCTATCATGAGTTGAAAGGTTTTGTACTTTATGGATGCCTCAAATCTTCTTTGCAGTGCATAATATTAAAGCTGTAGTACAGTAATAAGTTTAAGTTAATTCTGTTCTGTGCCTAGCAACTTGTTTTACCTAAATGCTCGAGCTGTTTTAGCCGAAGATATGCTGCCAATTTAGTGGGAGAAAGTACTTATAAATGGACTCATTTCAGGTTGAGCTGAGGAGCTTTTTCCTATTCATTTGAAGTCTAAAACGAACAGTCCGTGGGGTAGAAGTTTTGTTTTTAGTTTTACATGATTGTAGGCAAACAGGCATATTTTACACTATTCGTGGCTTTAAAAATGTCAAATCTTGAAATTCAGGTATTATTATATGAGATGATTATGAATTGGGGAGTTTAAATGTAAAAAAAAAAATTGTATTTATTGATTTCCTGTAACTGTACATTAGGCTTTTTGGTGGTCTCGATTTCTCCTAGTGATCATTTCTGGTTATACTTGTTTACTGCAGTCGAACGTACGTAAAGCGAGCATAAAAAGGCCGGATCCACCTTGCGTTGTTTGTGGAGGAAGTGGTAGAGTTGATTGTCACGATTGCAATGGAAAAGGTATGTTTCCTATCACTCTTTCTAATTTTCCTCAATTATCTACTCGATAATTGACCTTTACTGGTGTCCTATTGAAGCAATCTCTGAAAATTAAAGTTTTTCTTCAATTATTCCCTTCGGCAGGTAGAACAAACCACGTCCAATCAACGATACTTCCAAAAGGAGAGTGGCCAAAATGGTGAGGTTAAAAATTTTCCGTAGCCTTTAAATTTAAAAGTTGGTTTGGGCCACTGTTATACACTTATACTCACATAAGATCACAATGTAATCTCATAATTTATTTGATATAATAAATAAAAAAAAAAAAAGCAGGTGCAGAACATGTCGTGGAAGTGGGCTCGGGTGCTGTAACCGGTGTCTCGGGACCGGAGAGTATAGGGACATAATTGGGTTCCATTTTATGAAGAAGGGTATTGAAGCCCAAGATCAACAAAGAGATTCACTTCGTGATCTGGCGGGTTCATATACATTAACCGATCTACTGCAATACAAAGATCAGCTGGACTCGGGTAGTGAAAGATGAAATGGTGATTCTTGTGATGGATGTGTACTGCTAGCTGTTTATAATACAAGTTCTTGGATAGTCTGGCTCTCATATTTTCGAGCCGTAAATTATATTTAGCGCGGTAAGTATGTTTTTTGATACATATAGACTGTAATAGAGTATATGTGTACTTTTTGAGTGAAGACTGAAGAACACGACACTCGAACGATGACAAAAGTTCCCTTGTTTCTACATGGTGATTCTATTAGGTTTAATGTTTTGATAAAATTATTAAATATCCCTTGCTAGATTATAGGAAAACTCTTTTAACGACATTTATTCATTTAATCGATTTGCTCTGAAGTTGGGAGATCTTGGGAGATTTGAACTTTTGGATTTGGGGTTTCAGATTATGCTAGAATTTGCATTAAAATTAGGGAATTCTTTGTTGAATCCAGCAAATGCTCAGAGAGATTGGAATAACAAAACTATTATACTAATTGTTCTTCTGACCATTTGAGTTTGGAAATGACCAAATTATCAAATTCTTTTATAGGTGAAACAGCCAACCAAAGTGCATCTATTATCATTATTTTTTCCCCAGGTTGTGTGCTCAGATTGGAATAATGTAGAGCCCAGTATTCCAGTTCAATTCACAAGTATCACGAGGTTACTGTAATATTATTACCCACTTTTCAGTAAAGCATTAGAATGGACTGTGTAAAACTGTACCTAGCCATTAGTTCAGTAATCCTGATACAAAACAAACAGCATATTCAGCAGGTAGCTTGCCAGAAAACTATTATATTNAAAAAAAAAAAAAAAAAAAAGCATTCCAGAAATAGGTCAAATTTCAAGAACAAAACATGTACAAAATCCGAGTTCAAGACTCAACTCCATATGGAATAAGAGCCGCTGCTACTATCCTTCCTTCTTCATTCAATATGTTATATGTCGAGGCTGCATTCCTCTGCCACAACAAAAAGTAAACAAAATGCAATATCAGGTGTTTCTCGATTGATAAAAGAAATAGCATTTTGACACATAACAATCCACAAAAAAGTGAAAAGTTTGTTTATTTAACGGGACAAAGTTTCATGTTAAAATCAAGCAACGAGAAAAACACAGCAGGGGAGAGAGAGAGTTCACTTACTGAGTCAACTGCTTCTAATTTCATGCCCGTGGAGCGAACAAAGTCACGAAGTTCAGGTTTTACGGGCTGTGTATACCTTCCACATCCGAGAATCAAAATCTCTGAAATCGAGACATAAATGATGGGAAAAAGTTGCTATAAAATCGTATGGGAAATTAGAGTAAAAAATATAACGAGCAAAAACCCACGTCTAAATATAATGATAACAGAATGGTTTATATGGATGTGCTAAGAGTAAACGCGTTATATACTAAACCATAGATCGGTCATACCAAGGTTTCCACATCTAAATATAATGATAACAGAACATTAGCTTTTATTTATGTAATGATAATATTATATGCGTTAGTATGGTTTTAATTTAAGTTAAATAAAAAATGATGTCATATCCGCAGGCCAGTTTGGAACTTCGATCCTCAACTCCATTTATAAGACCTTGTCGTGCAGGCACATGTATTTATGTGTGTGTGTGTGTGTGAGAGAGAGAGAGAGAGAGAGAGAGAGAGAGAGAGAGAGAGAGAGAGAGAGAGAGTTCCCACCTGGTACTGGGTGCAGTGTCTTGAAAATGGATAAGCTGCAAAAAATAACGATAGCAGAGCCACATCAGGAGGCATTATGAAGCTACACTTCGAAGACGAACTTAAAATAGAAACAGCTAAAAGGAAGTTGCCATGAACAATCTTCCGTAAGGTTCTTTGATTAATGCAATAGTTAAAGACCTTCAGAAATATAACTTCTACATCAAATTCAAGCATAAAATGATTCACCTACAACAGTAATAACTTCTCAGAATGACTTACTCTCTCATAACTACGCTTTTGATCATATCGCACTACTAGAAAGCTTTATAAAGAGAAAAAGGTTAAAGCTTGAAACCATATAGTTTATCCCTTATGACCATTAAATATATAATGAATTTTAAAAACACAACGCAAAGCAGACAACAGTTGTTATCAAGCTTTTTCCTACTTCAGAATCAATAAAACTTGTTCAACAATCCTTTACCTTTCAGCAGTGATATCTGCGAATTTTTTGGGAGCCCAAGACGTTATCAAATTTCCTACACAAAGTAAGCTGCCCTCATACTTGACTCCATTTACCTTGAACCCTGTGTCGTCGAACCTGTTACAAAACACAGAAGAAGAGGAGCAACTAATCACCTCAACATACACAAATGAGCATTCGATACATAGAAGTATACAAAAAACAAGTATCAGATCTACTTATTTCGCCCAACGTCCAAGTTCAATAGCCTCTGAAAGCAACCTGCCTAAATGTGAAAAGCTATCGATGTACATGGGTTCTTGCAGAAAGCATAAAGAAATGGTCACAGTTTTTTCCCATTTTCAAATCTATATAGCACCAACAAATAAATAAGTGGATATTTACTTCACAAGTTAATTGAAATACGAAAAAAAATCTCAATCTCCATGAAATGAAGATGTTTTTCTCATGTCCATATCACCAAATGTCTTCATCTTCAAGAGTCGAACCATGTGCATTCCCAGATGAAAATTAATTGATAACCAGTATGAATTTCACCCCCATAGCATCAAACGGCATATCTAATACATACATAAGGCATATTGCATAACGAAGTATATGCAGCCAAGAGGTAAATTATGTGACTATCAAGAATTCAAGACAATGCATTCAACCATTTTATTTTATTTTATTTTATTTTTTTCAAATCCTTCCGGCAGAAATTTTTAATTAACAGCACAAAATCATCAACTTCAAATAACCACATCAAATTCACTAATTCACTCCTAAAATAAATTAACGAACACATAATTATCCAGGAATCTAATACATTTAATTTAAAACACAAAATTCTTCGAAAACCAACGGAATAAATAGACAACTCGAAAGAAAATCAAACGATGGAATGTACTGAGAAAAATAGCTGGTGAAAAAAAGGGTCGATCAGTACTCTTGAAAACGGAGCTGGTCGTCGGGGACTTTATCGATGAGATTGATCTGATCGTAGAGAGAGAAAGCTCTCCTCAACGACGGTAGCGCCGTATGGTGCCGCGGCGGAACCTCCTTCTTTAGCGCTCGCACAATGGTCGGTAGCGCGGCCACCGCTCTCCGTCTCGCCGCCATCTCTTGCGTCAGCTCGTCGCCGGTGGGGGTAGTGAAGAAATGCTGGAAATGGAATTCTCTAGACTTTTCAATGAAGCCCTCCCATTTTATGGGTATTAGAAAATGATCTAATTAAGATAAGGAAAATGCTACATGTACATTACTTATATATAGAGATGTACATAACACTCACATGGAGTAGGGTTCACTTAATTTTTTATTTTTGGTGGGTCTTACTCAATGTGAGTGTTATGTACACCTCTATGTGAAATATTATGTACTTATAGCATTACTCAAAAGATAAATGGCTTTTTGTCTAGCTTTTAGCTATTTGACCATCTAAAACAGCTAAAAAAAATTATTTGGTAAACAACTGTTTAAAATAGCTTTTCGGGGGAAAACACATATTGTAAACGCTGCAAATGACAGCGTTTGAAGTTAGCTTCTAAGTACAATTATTTGAGAAAACTATCTAGCGTTAGTTTTAACCGTTGGATGCACATATAGTTAGTACAAGATAGATAATAAACATAACGAGATCATAGCATTTCCATAACTTTCTATAGCAAGCCTTATTAAGGCTCGGGTGACTCGTTAACGAACCAAACCAAAACTCGTTTATCAAAACGAGCCGAGAAGAGTCGAATTCAACTCGAATTGGCTTGTTTACACCCCTAAATTCTGCCGTATGGATTTATGTTATACAAATTGCTCTTGCATATTACCCAATTATTAATTGAACAAAAACAAGACAGCAAAGACAAACTTACCAATTATGTAATTGATCATAAAATAATTAAAGTAAAATTATCAATAAAAATCTCAACTCAATCCCCAATAACTTTGAATTTATTCTATAAATTCCCCCCACAATACATGCAATTTCAAACATATGAACATGCATTACAAAGAAATTTTACCAATCACTAATTGCTAAATATCAATAAAACTACCAAAACAATTTGTATAATATGAGATACAAACAAATCTTCGTGTAAACGTCTCGCATAACGCTCATCACACATCCACATTCTTCTTTCTAACATTGCTCCGTTCCTCGAACCTCGTGTACTTATACGCCTTTGCACACACGATATAAACCATGAGGTCGGCTGCCGTCAGTATCGCTAGAAGATAGAAAAAGTTGTCTAAATGGCCACGGTTAAGGTTCCTAGGAATCCAACCAGGGTCACCACCTGAGGTTGAAATTTGGGTTACAATGGTTAGAATCAAACTACTCGCGTAGTTCCCCAACGAGATCGAAGTCATGCTAAGCGCGCTTCCGAAGCTCCTTAGTCCATCGGGCACTTGACCGTTGAAGAACTCTAGTTGCCCGACCAACATGTAGATTTCGGAAACACCGATGAAGACATACTGTGGCACCTGATGCATGGTAATTAATTAGTTATTGTATTCTATTGAACACGCATATATGTACTTACATTGCTTTAAGTTTTTTATCTCTAAATAGATTAATAGTCAACATTGATTATATAAATCTAGTGTTACAATCGAACCAAACGAGGTGGCCTTAGCATATCGAGTATTTTGGTTCGATTATGTTTGAACATTGTTCATATTCGTTCGTCTATTGTGCCCCAACTCGTTCTTTTTAATGTTTGTTAAAGTTTGTGTTTGAAAAATTTAATAAACAAACCTTCTAAAATTGTCTATTCGTTTGAACTCGTTTGAGCTCGAAAAAAATTTAAACATAAAAGTATTTTCATATTCTGAATTTTTTATTAAATATATCAATGTATATATATATAATAGAAGTATATTAAATTATTGTTCGCGGAGCTCGTGTTCGCTCCACTATTAAACGAGCCTAAGTTTCTATTCAGATTAACAGATGAACGAGCATGTTTGTTCAATATCAAATTACCTGCCAGAATATGGTGAGGCCGCTGGAAGAATTAACCGCGTCCATCATCCGAAAATGCTCGACTACGCCGGCAGCCACCATGGACATGACGGCAACCGCCAGCCCGACACCCATCCGCTCGATCTCCGTCAGGCCACCGCCGGACTTCCGGAGGCTGGCCATGGCTGGATCGACCGCGCGGCGGTGGATGAGGATAAAGGCGGCGGCACTGACGATCTCGAAGGCAGACATGCTGGCCGGAGGTACCCGGAATCCGGCGAGGCGATTGTCCATAGCGGCCCCTTGCTCGATGAAGATTGAGGTCATTTGTGTGTAGACTAGGGAGAAGATGATGGTGCAGAGCCATATGGGGATGAGCCTCCCTATGGTCTTCACTTCCTCCACTTGGGTCACCGTGCACAGCCGCCACGGGTCGCGGCCAATGCCGGCGGCATAGTCCGTCGAGGTCTCGATCGCCGCCTTGTCCAAGAATCTGCACCGTTGATCATGTAAGCCATCTTTTCAATGTTGGAATAAAAATTTTAGAAATGCAGGGGAAAACAGAGATCAAAACTGATGTGGATGTACAATGGTTGTTGACTTTAAAGGCAATGTGATGCGTACACATTCTAGGATCATGATTCATGACACTGTTATGTCAAAATTTATGTCATCCTTTATGTTGTTGTAGTATGATCTGTACTTGCAAGTTGCTACAAAGCATTTTAGCATAAAGTCTCATTTAATCATATGTTAAAACTAATGGCTCGAAAAAATTAAATAAGGAATTACATAGGCCCGAAATTTTAGATTGGAGAAATTTTTGGATCTTATGCAGAATTGATTCGAACTAGTCCATACGCTCCCATTTTTTAAGTAAGATTCGGGCTCACGAACAACAAGAAACAACGCGGTATATCACTCAGAAAAATTTTCATGAAACCAAATTAAAAGAAGTAATGCAGAGATCACGCAATGCAACTTGGTAAAATGCTTCTAGTTAACAACTTACTTGAACCCATCACTATGTAGAATTTTCCTTGCACCATTATCATACTCCGAGCCACACTCTTCCTCTTCATACAAACCGCCGCCACCCAACGGCACCTCGACCCGCCATTTTCTCAAAGCCGCAATAATCACTTGGCAGAACATTTTCCAAGGGTTCCCCTTGGGCACGAAATGCCGATACCTCGGCCTCCCCACCAAAAACAGCACCAATGCGGCTATAGCCGAGCCAGCGGAGGCCCAGAACCCGAGGGCCCACATGCCCTCGTTCTCCAAGTAGCCCAATATAGTGTTGGAGCCCAACATCCCGAGGTTTAGGGCCAAATAGAAGTAGCTGAAGAAGGCCACCTTCGAGTGGCTCTCGACCGGATGTTCCTCGTCAAATTGGTCAGCTCCAAAAGTCGCGACGTTGGGCTGGTAGCCTCCGTTTCCGAGGGCGACGAGGTAAATCGAGAGGTAGAATAGGATGGTCTCGACGGTTGAGTGGGGCCCACATGGGGCGCTCCCGTCGCCACAACCGTCGGGCTTTACTAAGAAAAAGTAGGATGATAGTGACAAGGACACCAATCCCTGTTATCATAGGCATATGTAGTTAGTTAACCAAAAAATGACCCAAAAAATAAAAAATAAAAACTTGCGTACGAGTGTGACGGCAAAATATCATTACAAGAAAATGATGAAATTTTAAAGGTAATATATTCCATATGAAAATTCTAAGAAAAATATTACGTTGAAATGAGTTTTCTATTGAAACTTTAATTGCATTCTGACAATTCCGATGGTAAATTTTTCAACATAAGCTATACTATTGGAATATCCGTTGAAATTTTCATTAAAAATATTTTTCGTTGGAATTTTGATAATTTTTTTTTTTTTCAGTGTACATGCGATGCCAATCCCTATTATCATAGGTATACGCGGTTAATTATTACACGAACTATAAATGCGCGACTTACGACAATAAATATGGCTTGAAAAATGGCGCAAGTTTTGTATCGTCCCCAATAAGAGTCGCTGAGAAAGGCGCCGAATAGCGAGAAGAGGTAGACAGTGCCGGTCCATTTGCTTACATCATTTGCCGCGCTCGAGTTGTCTTGCCCGATTACTCGTGTGAGGAACAATACAAGATTCACACCAACTCCATAGAATGCAAGTGTACAAAGGCCTTGGTTCACTGCACAACATACAACTTGTCAAATTTATTTTCTTACATAGTTTCAATAGTTACAATAGATATGTCCAAAATCCTAACATATACATTTGGCCAAAACTTAGAATTGCATAGAAACAACTCAAACAAAACCTCTTGATATCTATTTTGATCCCAATAAAATAAGGTTTATGAAGTTTTTGAACCAAACATTCAGAGCATATATATTTTATATCATGTGGTGCGACAGTGATGCGATCATGTTAAATTCAATTTTCATATACTTTAGTCCGAGTCGCAGCCATAATAAATTTTTTAAATAAAAAACTTAGTAGAATAAGAGAATACATTTTCTTTGTCATTTGATCATAAATTTACTAGGATGGTTAATTAATTTTGGATTTTTACCTAGTAACAAAATACCAGCAAACCACGATCCACTGCTTGCTCGAATTGCAGGCCTTCCATGGCGATCTACTGTTCCATCAAGCGTGTGCTCATCTTGGCAAAGCTTTTCAGCTTTCTCCATATTTAATCAATGATATATTTTCAAATGAAGAGTTCAAGTTCAACTAAATGGATATATATAAGAGCACAAATTAGTTCTTAATAATGTTCATTTTTCTCGTGTCTTTGTGCCTAATGGATGAGCATTAATAGTTGAGTATTGAAGCATAATGTACGATGAGATATATCTGTATATACTAACATTTGTTAGCCTTTCTAATGGTTAGATATATGGCCTTTTCATAACACACAAATTTTTGTATGAGATAAATTAACTAACCATTATGTGGACCGAATCGACCTATCAATTTTTTTAAAACAAAAATGCATACTTGTAGTATAAAATGTCATATTTTAATTTATGATTTTTTGAAGTATGATATTTCAATTCGAAATTGTACATGTTTATTGGAAA